CGCTAGGGTGGAGTTGAAAGGGGGGGGGGGGGCCCCCCCCCCCGGCCAGCAAACGAAGATGTCGGGGACCATTTCTCCGAGAGATAGGCTGCAGCTCTGGGTTAATATATTTTTGCTAAAGCAAAAGGAAAACTCAGGTAGCGTAACCGCTACCTTTCGTGACTTTTGGGGGTGTTTAAAGCCCCTTGATTTTGGGGGCGACCCTCGTGTTGTACTGGAACCAATCCGCCAGGGCACCAGGATGCGTTGTTAAGCTAGACTGAGCTGCCGCATCAAGAGCCTCCTCCAAGCGTGGGAAGAAGATGGCCACCTCCACGGTCCGTGGATGTCGGTGCAGCAGGTCAGGGCACCAAAGAAGAAAACGGACCAAAACCGGTCAGTCAGCGATGTTTTGCAGTGAACTCATCTTCATTCATCTTCTATATAATTAGGCTTAAAAAAAGGTTCTGACAAAACGGACAAAAACTAACCAACATCGTGTTCGGAACGTGTCAACCTATGTACCATGACAAAACAGCTTGCAAATGGTTTAGGTGTTAATGGTACACCTCTTTTGACCGAAGCCCGTGTGGGCCAACCAATTGAAACGCGGAACGGACAGAACCGAACTCTGCGAACAGCGAGTTACCAGATCCGGCCATTCGTCCTGGAAAATCTGGAGCGCTTGAGAATTCTGGGTATCATCCAGGCGATATTGGGGGACATAACAGCAGAACATGCGGCAACAAATGGCAACAGTTGCTTCTGAGCCAGCCGTGTTGAGTTCACCAAGAGCTTCAAAGTTGAGCTAATATTGTTACCATTTGCCCCTTGCCTTACTGATTGGCTAATATCGTCCGTGGACAAAAACAGCTGTACATCGTCAATCACTATCCAACAGAAAAAAAACGGCTTTAGTCAGTTCTCTGGTGTTTACTATCTCCAGAATATTCCTGGAATCAATCGATTTGGTGCAACATGGACATGGACCTCCCCCAAAAAAGAAGTGCAAAGTATTGGCAAGCTTGTTACCTCATACGAACCGCAAGCGGTCCTGTAGGGTCTTCTTCAAACTCTGCTACAACTGCGACCAGGTTGTAGAAGGCCCCATGCAAAAGGTCACTTGGGGTTCCGCTCGGTTGTTTCACCTCTGGGTGAGGTCATTCGTAGGTCAACGTTCCCATCTCACGCGTCCCGGCCGGCGCCAAGCGCATGAGCCCCCCATTGCCGGAGTCACCTGGAGCGGACGGCCGGAGTCAGAACCAAGGATCAGTCAGTCCGCTTTGGGGTCATAAACTCCAAATTCTTGGGGATCCTCAAATGCTTTTAACGACGTTTGGATAGAAATTTAACTTTCAATAGGAAGAGAGACTTCCAACGTCGGAAGTTGGCCGTCACGAAACAACCCGCAATGAGACACCACACCCCAAATACACACAAGAGGCCATGAAAAAGCTCTAATGTCTCCATTGACGTACTCATGAAGAAACCAAACAACAGCGCTTGACTCTCTTGACTGCATGACATTTTGGCCAGGCGGACTTGGCATTCTGAAGCTTCAACAGGTGCTACTTCAACAGATCACCCAGATCCCCATCCCAGAAAAGATGAAAAGCGGTTTGAAGATCATGCAACAGAAGTCTTCGGATTCTTTGGTGCGGAACTTGATGGCACTTCAGTGACCACCAACTGCAAGTTGGCTCCAGCACCACTGTCCTCTTCCTGCAATTTTGGTCATCCTGAGATTTCAGCAAATCAGCACACCCACTCTGACTCCCTCACCTCTCCACCCAGTCCTCATCCCGAGCACTTTCGAGGTTTCACCGAGCCACTACTACCAGGGTTCACGTAGATCGCCTCGATGGGTTCCAGCGGCTTCAGTGCCATCAAGCTTTTCGCCTCGGCGCTGGACGACTCGTCGGACGAGAGGCAGGAGACTCCAGCATCCACCTGAGCCACTGACGGCTGTCAGGAGACCACCCAGCCACTGACGGCTGCCAAAAAGCCCAGTTGGATATAGGTCATATAGGGCCGCGTCCCCCAAAACCACGAGAGGTTCCGTTGATGCAGATTGGACTGGTGGGTCATGCCCGCGGACTGTTTGCGGTGATTCCACTGGGTCTGGCCTAATTAGGCTGGATGATCGCAATAGTTTGCCTAGAGAACTTGAAGAAACTCAGACACTGTAGCCTACACCGATCTGCGACACTGGAGTGTCCCTTTCTGAAAGGATCTTCCAGGGCCCTTTGAGAAGGGGATATATAATGATCAACATGCAGCCTCTTATCCATCCATCCACCCCATCCCAACAAACCAACCTCAACATGAGAAACTTGAGAACTTTATGGAAGACTTCAGTGTTTCTTCAGTCACTTCCTCTCCCTCTACCCAGCCCAGTCCACTCAAAACCGCTCTTTGAGCCGCGGCATCCGCCCAGGGGCCGTGTTGAGGCCCAATCCAAAGCTGCGCCGGTCGCCGCGCTCCGCGTCGAAACGGAAGGGGTTGTTCATGCCCTGCCAGTGGCGTCGAAGCGGAGAAGCGATGTCCGGATGTGAGGATTCTGAGGATTAAGACATCGGGGACACATGACCAGGATCAGGAGGATCAGGAGAAGCATGGGGTTTACCATGAGGAGAATCTGGCAAATCCCAGTTTGTTGATTCTAGTGCAGGTAGAGTCTGAACAAAGCAAGCTGTAGATATGGGAGAATCAACACCTTTCTGGCTGGTATCATTTCATTAACCTCCATGCTAAAGAATCAGGGATCGTGTGATCATTCCTTGTGATCCTTTCCACGTCGTCGTGAGAGATGGTGACTAGAAGCAATCAAGCAAAACGGGTAGTCCAACAAAATGTCCCGGAATTGCATGTGTGCTTTCTTGACTCTGCCGGTGGGTCTGTTTCCAACCACCTTGGTCAAAGACAAAAAGAATCGACATATGATCCAAAGGATGACAGCTAGGCTAGTTGCGAGTCATGATCCGGCTTTGTCTGCACTTTAACGCCCTTTTGCTTGAGATTCTTTCTTGGTGACCGCGCCATACGGTTCCTGGCATTGTGTTGTGTCAAGGTAAACGTCGCGGCAAAGGAACACCTCTTAGCCACAACAAAGAAACAAAAAAATGCGTTGCCATCTCAACATGAAGGTCGATGGCATGGTGCCGAAAGGAAGACAATGTTCCTTAAGCATTGCTTTGGTCCTCTTCCACGGAAGGGTCAACAACTCACTGGTCCGCCAGGCGTGGCGGAAGCGCTTTTGCCCCCCCATCCCACCTCCCCGAACCAGCACCAGAATCCTCAAGCAAGCGGCGTTGGACACAAGTCCAGTGCCAAGTGAGGGAAGAAGGGAAAAAGGTGAACAGTGATATACAGGAAGTTTCACACACATGGAACTTCATCAAGTTAGTTCACCAAGTGAAACCGAACATGTAGCTCACCGACCGATGTCACAGTCAAGTTGGAACTTGGAACCACTCCAACATCCATGACTAAAACTACCCAAGCTTTATGATTCAGGAATTTCCTGAGAGCAGATTGCTGGTTGTTCGGACATCTGGGACATTGGGTTATTCAACACACATATAAGATGTACATTGTTCTAGATATATATATATATAACCACTGAGCCAACAAGTCATACAAGCAACCGTATCTCTTGAACTTAAACCGCCTGAAGCCTCTTGTTTGAGCCCATTCAAGTGACAAGTGCCAGTTAAAATAAGGTAGGTTAGGCCCTCCTGCTTCCTCATAATTGCCAAAGCTAAGCATCACGCTGGGCCACAATCAATCACAACCCCACCGAAAGAAATTTATATTAGAAAAACACCTTAGACCAGAACAACAAAAACAATTCTCCCACTATGACAACAACTGCACCTTGCAGAAGATGTGGAACTTGTGTTCTTTTTCTGCACCTTTCCAGCTGGGCCAGCTGGGCCTCACGCCGAGCCGCGCAAGCGCAGGTCTGACCCGTCCAAACGTCCATGGAGGGCCAAGGAGTCGGCTAAGCAAAGGGCCTGAGAGACGGCGAAAGAGCGAAGGAGCTCGGTCTATTTTTCGGGTAAAGAGAGAAGAACTGCTTGGAATGACATGCAGTTTCAACACAATTTGTTGGAAAACTCATTCAGAAGTTGGGAGATAGTTGGGGGAGATAATATGATATAATCCTTTGTTGACTGCTTTGTGGCTGGGGGTCAAAAGGGATCCAACAAGTTCTGGAAAACAGAAGCCAGACATACTCCAACAAAAGACGAGCATGGACTGGATAGCTGAAACATGCCACAGGATGTCACAGGTCTTTCAACAGATCTTCGGATCGCACGTCGGATCCATTCGACGTGCCAACAGAGTGCCATGGACGTGTCATCGGTCCATTGCCCAGGCTTCAGCACTCCACGCTCCAACTCCTGGGCGAGAAAACGGCGTCCCGCAGGAGAACACCGGTGGCGCGGGGCAGATGCTTCGCCATGGGAATGATCTGAATTGTGAAGATTGTTCAGCGCACAAACAAAATCTAGAACCGTTTCAAGTTGGGATAGTCCAGGTGCAGAACTTGCTCGAAACTTTTGGTGAGTTCTACCAGGTACACCTTCCCGATGTGGTTCCATGCTTGCCTAGTGGAGCTGCACAACGGAGGTATTTGGCACACAAATGAACGAACAGGCCCTAAAAATCATGGTGTCACCTAAACATCAACAATGGCGTACGTGAAACTTTGCTTTATGGTTCGGGATGCCTAGGGATTTGATACTGGGCAACCCTTCAAACGCTTTCAGCCTTTGTGCGGCCGAGACCGGGCCTGCTGATCCATGTTTCAATAGAACACTGGTCTCAAAGGCGAGACCGGTCCTGTTTGGGGTGGGCGAAAGACAGGAGCAAACGACGTCCACGTCGTAGCTCGTGGACGAGTAACGCGAGACATGGCGGCCACGAGTTCCGCGAGACAGAGTGGGCCTGCGGCGCGTCCGCCATCTAAATCCCAATCAAAACGGACAAGAAAGAATCCCTGGTTTTTCGCTGCTATTGTCCAAAAACGTGAAAAAAATAACATGCTCCATATTCTCTTCATGAATCTCAGGCCTTGCGTAGATCCCAAAAATAGCACCTCCTTCTCATTTCTTCTCATCTTCCAAACCTGGTTCCCCAACTCCAAACCCGTCGGCTCAGGCGCATTTTTGTTGGGATTTCTCCAGGTAAAGGCATCGTGATCCCAGCAGCTCGCGCTTGGCTCATCCACCACCTAGCTTGTACACGGGTTCGAGCGAACGCGCGATACGATATAGCGGCTGAGAGCGATTCGGCAAGGATTCCTGGCACATCCGGGATGTCCATGTTCTCAAACACCAGTGGATGTTCACCGGTCCATGGACGGCCAGTCCATGGACGGCCAGTCCATCTGATGAAAAAAGGGAGGTGAGAAACGTCACTCGATTCCATCGGAATGTGAGCATGGAATGGCATGGCACGCAGCTCTATGCAGGGAGGATGGCACACGGGTGACACTAAGGAAGGCCATGTTCGATTCTAAGACCACGCCACACACACACACACATGAAAGAGTTGTGCCACATACAGTAAATCGATGTAAATAGATGTAAATAGAAGGTAGTTGTGGGGTATCAAGTTCCTGCGACATCAGCTCCTGCTGCATTTGGAGACAACAAGATGGTATATGAAGCCTCGCAAAACTCAAACCTTTCTAGCACCGTGAAATCTAGGCTGCTGTGGAGGGTCTTTCTTTGAGGCTTTTACTTATATAAGATTATACTACTGTCTAATGACTTAGGCCAACGTGATGCAAGTGACATACCAATCTGGCTACCCCCATGCTAAGTCATGTGCCCTGACATATCGAGCAAAAAAATGTCTGGGTTGGGAAACCTGGTGTCATAGGACCTGTGGACACCTCCTCGACAAAAAATGTAAAAACACAGCTAAATAATGCTAGATACCACTGCCTGGCACCCTGGTGACGCAGTGGTGACATAGGGTGCGACTATGTGTTTTTGCGGGCGCTGCTTCCTTGAATACCTCATACATATTTCTATGAATATCATGGTTGTGGCCTGATGACATAGGCCTTAAGAGGAAATGCCAATGTTGGATCAATCCTGATGACATAGGCTTTTGGAATTGGCGTGTATGTCCGACAAGTCCTAAGTTACTAGTCAGTAGTATATATAAATTCAAAAACATTCCACCTTTGTGGGCTAGTCAAGCATCTGAAAGAAGTCACTGACGAAGTCGCTGGAGATATCAGCCCATTCAAGCCTCACATTTCTTTGGGTAGCACCACCATGATCAGCCCCAGCACTAGTCACCCAAATTCCGCTCACATTGAGGTCCGATGTCCTTCCCCATGTTCAACACCCAGTGTAAAACGGTTAAGATTCCTTCTATCCCATGAGATTCCCCCCCAAAAAATCCCGTACTCCCAGCTTTCCCCCTTGCCCCTCCCAGCTTCCCCCGTGTCCTCCCACCCAGTCGACCTCTAAGAACTCCAACGGTGCACCCACCCAGTCGGCCACGGCCAGCCCCAACAGCGCGCCCGCCGCGCGGTGCAACGGCTTAGGGCAAGTGTCGGCCTAGTGGGGACGAGGTGGGCAAGGTCCGACTGGAAAGGATGGTCGAAAGGAGTTGGATGGCACCACCACTCGGATGTCCAACAATAAGCACACACTTACTACCACGAATTTCGAGACCTTATTCTAGTGCACAATGTCCAATGGGGGCCATTTCGTTCCAGTTACATCCATGGTCCATGCAAGCAAGCATTGTCTTTGTCTGAACAACAAGGGATGACAGTCCGCTGTGAAATGTTCCACAGATTCTGTCTTGCAGTCCCGATGTCTGTGCAGTTTTCAGGGATACAGCCAGACTGATGCTTCATCTTGTGATCACCACAGCCCAGGATATTTGGGGAAAACAGACTGTCCAGGAGTCCAGCCCTATGAATGTTGGGCAAAGCAATGACCACACAACTTGAGACATGCAAGGTGAGAAGCATCTGCCCCAGGTATCTAGGTTGCATTTCCAGACACAACTTCTACCAGCAACGCAGATGATGTTCGAAAGAAGTCCTCCGTGGTCTTAGGGTTGGCAAAAAGAATCCAGTCAATCTAGTCAAAACTCCACACACAACAAGCAGCATACAAGCACCTACTCTACCGGGTAAATTCCACAGTCCAAACGAAAAAGCATCTTCTTGAGGATCAAGCCTTTCATCCTTAACACCATGACCAATGTTGATGATTTAAAGGCCTGGACGTGTAAGGACGGCCCATCTGTCTCGGACGTATTTCTACCGCTCCGCCACTTCAGCTCTGCTCACCAAACTCCGAGCCGCAAAAATTAAGCTGCGCGCTCGTTCGATGAGCTCATCCTTGGGTTGTGCAAAAGATAGGTTGGCTTGGTGGCTTGACTTAATTTATTTGACCTTCTCACTGTCACTCACAAATGCGTTTATATACTGAAATCATTTACTGCGAAAACAAACAAAAAGGCTGGATTGCCTCCAAAAGTCAAACGAACCTGTCCAATTATGAGGTGCTCTATCACGGCAGATTGAATGAATTTATGCAAATCTCATCACCTCACTTCGAACATCTTTCAACTAACACACGAGGCTTGTAACATGGAGAACCTTTCTATTTGGGTGACTTCTATCCTCTATATAATATTATTTGGCTCCATGTTTGCTTCGAAACCCTGAAACTCCATAAGCATAGACTCAGGCTGTGTGAAACAAATCCAGCGAGGGTTCTGTCATGCACAATGCAGTGGTGTGGGTCAACGCCGTCCACCCTGCACAAATCAAGTTCCCAAAGCAACAACAGGGGCTTATACGGGCTGTCTCAAACCCTGCCGTAATGTATATATTGTGTTTTTTTTCAATCCTCTGATCACCAAGGGTAGAAGTGGCAGTCTAAGTCGAAGCATTCATGAGAAGAACCGAAGAACCAACACGAGGAAAGGATTTGGGCGGGGCTTGCAAGTCATACACACGAAGTGGGAACCCCATAGAACATCAGAAACTCATAATTCAGCACAGTTCCAAACCTGGTTGCAGCGGTTACCCAGATTGTATACGCTGCCAAGTGACCGGTACCTGTGGGTGTTGTGGGAGGCTCCAAAGAAAATCCGAGCAGGTTGGATTGGCGTTGGCTACGATTGGTTGGATTGCATTGTCCAGTTAACAAGGAACTTGCAAAACATACGAAAACACTGTATTTCTACTTGTCTCTCAGAGTGTGTTTGTGGAGATCTATACAAAAACGGCATGGCTTAATTGGTCAGAGCGCATGACAACATTTTGCCCAAGCTTCCGAGCGCATGTGCGGTGGATTGGTTGGTCTGGGTAGGGTATGTCTGGGTGATTAGGAGGACTGGTCTCCTGGCTACTGGCTAATTTGGGCGGGAGGAACAGGCTACTGGCTCGCGCAACGGTTGCTTCTCATTTCTCATATCTACCTGTGAGCTAGATGACCCCTTTGGAGGCAACGAATCAAAGTAACAGCGGCACACAACCACATGAACTACACAGTACCAAATTGAGTTTCTCATGACACATGTTGCTGCATGACCATCAAACACATATTGAACAAACCACTAATTACTGATGTATATAATATGTATATTAATATATATATATATATATATCTGTCTGTGCAGGAAACCGTCATGTGGTCTTGCTTCTCAGCACTGTAGACAGCACTGTAGAAGTTTGATTTCGCCATGAGTTCTATCCACATCCAGCAAGAAGGTCTTTGAGGCCGCCGCGGAAAACACGCAGAAGAGATAAACGTTTGCTGAGTAGTCCATGTCATGTTTCTTGATCCCCATATCACATTATCAATCTTTTGCACATGTGTTCATCCGCATGTTTTGTTTCGTCCCCATGACTTGGATCCTCCAGTCCCCATCCGGTCATGGAATCCCTCTGTTTCATCCGCCTCCGTCCGTCGTTTGGTCCAGTCTCATGGTCCCTGACGTCGTGACCGTCGACGTCGCATCGGATGCCTGGCTCCAGGGAGAAAACTCCACCAGCTTCACATCTCGGTCTCCTGTCCGGTCTGAAGCTCGGTGAGACGCATGGCGGCGGCAAACAAGCTGAACAGCTGGCGATGAAAACAAAACAGATTGAAGAAACTTCCGCGATTGACCGTTTGTTAAATGCAGAAAGCTTCTGCACGCGACCTTGAGGGCGTGAACATGAACCTTCTCAGCTATTAGCATCCCAAAAGCCTTCCGTCAAAAGAGGCCGTTGTCCCATCTCTCCCCTTCAATTTTACGGACACGACCTTGATGGCTTTATGTGTCCTTCACATTGCTTCAAGTTAGCAGCTACACTGTCACTCAATCAATATGAGTCTCTAAATCCACACACGCAAAAACTATACGACGCAAAGCACCCGTTTCCTCATGTTTCTCACACACATTGGCAAATCTCTAGACAGTCCACCAACCCGTTTCCTCACTCCTTTGTCCTTAAGCTGGCGGTTCACTTTCACCAACCTGGGAAGTGGGGAAGGACAAGGTGATGATCGTGGTGACGATGCCCGACAGAAAAGTGATGCTGAATCATGAGCACCAAAAAGCTGGCCGACAGAACCGAACCACGAGCGTGACAAATGTTCTCTGGCCCCCACCGCAAAGACCTATATAGCTCTTTTTTGTTGGGTTTGCTGCTTGCTTCTCTTTCCATAGCAGGAGCTGACACCTTCAAGGATTTTTGCGCGGGAAATCACATTCAAACATATGGATTGGAGGTCTCTTATCCTGCACTGTGCCTTTTGCTCTACATTGCTGCTTCAAGACGCCTGAGACGGGATCAAACATTGATCTAATTCAGCAGGTCCAACAAGCCCAAACAAACAAGGCAAAAGTAGGTGTCAGCACGTCGTGCTGTGGTCAATTGACCGAATGTCTTGGAATAGATACCAAAAAATAAAGAACTTGCAGCGTAGGTGATGCAAGACACGCGAAACTGCACTCAATCTACTCAATGGGATATTCTACAATTACCCTCCCGCAAACAAACATGGAACCTGAGAATTGACCGATGGTTTCGACATTTTCCGAATACCAACCCAGTGGTTTTGGCGGTCCATGAGGTCCGAATAGCAATGAAGTAATGGAAATTCAGTAGCAAACATGTTTAATCATTTGGATCAAATTTGTGGCATCAATGTGTGGCTCCTGATTGAGTCATCCAGTTGGCAACCAAGAATTTCAGGTTTTTCGGTTGAGAATGTGTATAGCAAAGCCTTTGACAATTTCGAGCCGAAAGGAACATGTTACCTACAGTTTGAGATCAAGAACATGCTGCATGCTCCGAAGCTGTAAGAGACCTCTTCTAGAACCTTTGTGACTTGCGGGTACAGTGCTCTCCTATCAAATCAGGGCAAGGGTTCTAGGCTTCTGTTCATGCCTCACCAAGATTGTCTGACTCCCTACAATGATGCAGCACCTCGCACTCCAAGCCCCGACTGTTTCACCCTCGGATAGAGCTGGGTGTGAGTCCAAACGGCAAACATCCACATCTTGTAGTCTCATTCTCGTGCACCCCAAAAAAAGAATCTCTTTCTTTGCTATCATCCTACTATGCTCCTTGATGGCCCGGAAAGGGACGATTACTCTATGACAGGATGACGGGATGCATCGGGCAAGTCACTCGGGCTCGTCCCGCAAGAACGTGGTGAGCTCCGCCAGGAGCGCACTCGTTTCTTCGGTCATGGCGCATGAAGCGGAACTCGTTGGATCGGTAAGAAGGGTCCAATGTGTTGGGTCTATCCTAACAGCAGTGGATGATGGTTCAGTTGCAGGCCTTTCTCTAGTGATTTGCTTGTTTACCGACTGTTACAGGTTCCGCCTTCCAATCATGTGGTTCCATTTCATGAACGATTTTCCATGTGCAAGAGCTGGGTGAGATGTTGAGTGGAAAACACAAAGGTAATCAAAGGTATACAAAAATAACTGATGTTGCGGCTTGTATCCTCGCCCAATCGGTGTTCATCTATTGTACGGATCCTTTGCTTCCCACCACAGTTTTGGAGACACCCACATTACTATGATGATTTCCTGCTGCATCTATACCATCTCAAGCATCCTTCAAACCATACTTCCGCCTCATCCTCAATTCACTCAGCTGGCTGCTCATCCTCATCACACAGGTCAGGTCCTGTCACCGGTCATTCATGACCCGCTGCCATAAAGCCCCAAGGAGTGGGCAAGAACCTGTTTGCGGAGAAACCTCAGCCTAACAGCAGCCTTTGCCAGGGTATGTTAGATGTCCGAATCCCTGTCTGAGACAGTGGGGGAAGCACGAAAGCAGCTGGTATGTTGTGGTGACAGGACTCCGATGAAATCCCCCCTCTTCACGTGGGATTGGACATTCCACGCTCGCTTATATTATAGGTGCTTCCACGTTCATCCATTTTCCAAGCTAAGCCGCGGTCCGGTCCGTCGTATGTACAATGGCCCTAAGCTGCACATCGCAACTGATTATGACTTTTCCAGAGTCGAACTGACACACAAGTCTCTGAACATGGGAAGGAATCCTACGAAATCACTAGGACATATAGATACTGTATGCTAGACAGTATACGTTAAATGAATGGGTTTCGACACATTGAACATATCATTTTGATCTACACCCCATCCACTGCTTGGTCTGATGCCTGGCGAACCCCGGTCTATCAGCACTGAACTGAGCGCGAGCGCGAGAGCGAGCGCGACTCGCCCATCGGACTACACCGTGGCTGGGGTAGAGGAGCCCATCGGAAGTTGGCCGTCACGGTCACAGACCAACGCCTCGGTCGAATGAGGAAAACCACACCGAGGCTTTTGAGCCATTGGTTTTCCGACGAGAGAAGGTGGTTTTTTGGAAACGCCAAGGTGGACTGATGACTTGACTTCTGAGACTAGAGGCACTGCTGGGAGGTGCGTGACGTGTGCTGCTTTGTTTGAGACAAGTTGGACCACAGTTGGGCATTTGGGCAAGATTTAAGATCCAAAAATGATCCAGATTGAGAGAATTGGTCAAAAGGGCCATACTTGGGCACAGGACAGTACTTGGGCCTTTAAACCACTGAGGTACAAATGAATCCAATGAAAATCGTCTGGTGAGTCACTGGTGCCAGTCCTACTTCTCATGCTCAAGAGTGATGCCGTGTGTGATAGAATAGCAAAATTCACTTACACCATGTGATTGATGCTTGTATAATTATATGTAACTGTAAGATCTTGGCACGTCACATAAATACCAACACAGAATCAACACACTCTTAAAAACATGCCAACAAAAAATCTATAATCTTTGGATAGCTCGCTCTACTTGTGCCAACCAATCATGCGTACCTTGCTCGATCCACCCTACCTTGCACTGTTGTTCTCTTGGCCCTGCCCTGCGACTGCAATTTTGAACCTCAAACCCTCAGAGCAGGCTTGCGGAAGTAACAACAGCCACAACATGTTCAAGAAAAATTTCCTGAACAGCAAAAACGTCTCGTTGGATGGGAACAACAACAACAACGGCATCTGCAAACAATTGATAATCGCATCAACCCAAATGTTGAAGATCGCACACAAACCAACCTCTTGGGAGGTATCCACATCAACTCTGCACTACTCTCTGCACTCTATATATACATGTTTTCTTTGCCGTCTGCTCAGTCGGCCCCTCCAATGTCCCCTGGGGTCGCCCCACCCGGCTGCACAGCACGGCCGCCCAAATGCCACAGAGTGCGCCCAGCCAAGGCTCTAGGCCCACCACAAAGGATTCTGAAGTGAGATGGCGGAGGTGGCCAAACAGTCCATGGAGCCAGTCCATCTTTGAGACTAGTTTGTTCATTCGAACTGCCCTGCGTGTCAGACCTGTCCTCTTTTTGAGCTACAAAATATTCCAAAGAATCAACACATTCTTCTGGTCCCAGCTCACTGATTGCTTTAGACGCAATGTAATAGAATCGGTGGCTCTACAAACAAGGTTTGATTGCTGCTTTAACAAAGTACAAGGAAGGAAGAGATCCGGATAAGCAATCTGGATTCACCAACACTCTTTTGCCGCTTCCCACCCTCCTGGCCTATGAGATTCCACAGCACAAGCGCCCCTTTCTGCGTCGCCAGCCCCAATGCCAGGGCCAGGGTCGGAACCCGGTTCCGGGCACGCGCCCGGCGCAGCAGCACCTGAAAAAAAGAGATGTCTCCTGCATGGCACATCTGACGGACTCTCCAATAAGGGGCACAGCTGATTTGCTTGAAGTTGGACACCTGCAATTTCATTCGTCAACTGCTGCAGTTGCGATCTATGCGTTACAATCTATGGGATGCGTATGATTTCCACATCTGGACTTGCGGGCAAAAATTAATTCGAAGTCGAATTTCAGTCCGTTTTTTGGGAAGGGAGTGCCCCTTTCCAAGATCTGACCAATTCAACTATGGTGCTCATAGAGATTTCTCTTCGCAAAACAAGTCCCATCCCACAGGGGGCGTTGGAATCGCCAACAATGCATCCATTTAGCATCCATCTATTTCTACGGTTCAGCCAGTCAGTGACCAGGAAGCTATGATTCAGTGAAAAAATAACCTGTTTAAACACCTTGGAAGTTGAAACCTCGCGAAATAAGGATTGTGGTGAGGGCACACTGGGATTCTGCGAAGAATCAGAACTGGTACAACTTGGACAACCCCATCTGACTGCTGCTCAAAAACCTTGGTACTTCGCATAAACCTTCAGCATGCTGAGGTCTTTTTGTTCTCAGGAACGAACTTGATTCAAAGTCCGGCAACGCTGATGAATGGTTTGGCAAGTCCAGGGCTGAACGGCGCAAATCGTGGTGCAGCTGGGTTCAACGACTATCGCAGCTGGCAAGTCCTCCACTGCCACAGGAAGGTGATCGCATGGGGTGTTTGCAACTATCTTGATCAAATGCGCGTGGAGTCCTCGTGGTGTTGAAGTGCCTGGAGAAAAACAACTTTATGTAGAATCTTCAGCTGCACCTCTACACCTTTCAACCGAATCTTCACACATGCCTCAATCAACTTATCATATGAATCATGTCTGTCAATTCCACATCGTCAAGCCCGAATCCCTGCTTTAACCCGCCAAGGGGCCACCAGGGGCAAAGCAAAGAAGAACAAGGGCAAAACGCCCGTGGCCAGCGCGGCCCAGACTTCGCCCCACAGACCTGTCCGGAAGCTCCGTTCGGAAGCTCCGTTCGGAAGCTCCGTTCCGTTCGGAACCCACGGCCGGGGTGCTTGGCGCGTGGGCGAAGCAACCGATGTGGGCCTTGAAGCCTTGAAGAGCCAGCAACAGCGATTCTGGATTCTGAAGGGCCGGGCCCCTCACCGAACGGAGAATTGGTTTGGGAAGGACTCGAAGGCGGAAGTTGGACGGTGTTTTGCCGAGGTCGTACCCACCCGATGGTAACGTAGAATCCCTGGCACATAGGGGGGATTTTAACATTGCGTAGGTGCACCGACAGGGGAAGGAAAAACTGAGTACAGAAAGGGATCAGTATATGGATGTTGAGTTCGTGTGCCCATGTCCGTAAAACATACATGACGTATTGCAGTTGCAGCCATTTGGAGGTTTCGCAGCCGTTGTGGACTGGAAGGTCCGGCAAAAACCATGCTAGGCATCCCAAGTCATTAGATGATAGATTCCGGATCCAATTGCCATTCTTCAAAGGTGGATTGACTGAACTCTCTCTACTTGCAGGAATCACTTGGAGCTTGTGATGATGCTTCTTGTGTCGTTGCAAAGCAAAAAGAGGAGGATCTTAGCAAGGAGGCCAACTTCAATATCTGAGATGTTCGGAGATTCCGCAATATCAGGGAAGTGCAAAAACCCTGATTTGGCAAATACGACGTTGCAAAGTGGCAAGTGTGGAAGTTCATACCCTGTTGCAAGCCTTCCAAGGTTGTCAACTTCAGGTTGTGGGATGCCAAAGCCTACATAGGGTCCTACCTAAGTTAACTGTCCCGGGAGGTATTCTTTGCACATGTGCCAGTTACCCAACTTGTTACTTGATACCTTTACTTGATACTAAACCCTAAACCCTAAACCCTGTGTGACGCCCATCAATCTCAAACCCACAAAAGAAACACAGGGAGTCCATAGGAAGTGCTTTGCATCCGTGTGCAAGCGCAATCTTTACGCATTTCGACGGAAGCGGCAGAGTTCAACCGCGGACCCGGTCAGCAGATCGACGTGCCTGCGACCATGGGCGAGACCAGCAACATGGCAGCAGTCAACACGGCGGCGACCTGGGCGTTATGGATTGCTGAACAAATATCATGTATGTGTACATACATGTCTTATTTTTCTGTATATATGACATACACACAACTTACAATAATATTGATATATAACATGATGTAGAATAGTTCAGTACTTCGGAGTATCCACCCTCCACTTTTGCCTTTTTCAGTCAAACACCCCCTTGGAACTCCGAGGTGTAACAGGTGTGGTGGTCCCCAAACAGCCTCACGCGAGCTCAGTGATACACCCCAAAGAAGTGTTATGGAATCGGTAGATCTAGATTTCTCAACGGAGAAGTGTGTTTGGACATGTTTGGACTCTATCACTTTGGGGATGAAACTGGTGTTTGGCGGCAGTTTGGCATGCTGTTTTGAACAACTGGAACAAAAGCATCACACATCGGCTCGTTCCCTGCCGGTAGCTAGTTGCCAAACCGTCCCTGGCTCTTGGCGTAAGCAAAGGCTCTTCTGGTTCAAGGGAGACCCCACAAACTTGGACCTGAGCCCCACACTGGTCTGTTCTTGTGGCCACGGGTGCAGGGCACCACAATTTCTGGTTCAAACTTTGCACTGGCATTTGGGAAAGTAGAGGATCAAGGTTCTCGTTCTGCGTTGGCGGACGGAGCACTTGCACCCCGCAACCCCATGGCGCTCCCCAAACCTGGGTCTTCAGACCAGCCATGCTCCAAAAGCCCCGAGGCTGCGCAAGAGACGCGGCACCTGTGCAGAAACCCGTCTGTGTTCACGGTGCAGAGGTCCACTTTGGAAGGGTGAATCCAGGGCACTCTCCCACCTACCAAGTGGAGCTCAAACGGCGCAATCCCATGGGCCATCGTCGTGGGACACGGCGGCGACTCCGCGAACCAGGTGATGGCGGGACGGGAAAGACTGACCGATGTCGGTGCCACAACAACGGTCTTGCTTTTGCAAAGAAGGAGATTCCCAACGGAGCAAGGATTTTAGGGATTGACACCCCCATGATCAATAGGGAAAAAGCATTGACCAACAGATTAACTTCACACACCTATTTTGACGCAAGAGCCAAAGCCACCGCTGAAAGACTATTGCGGCAAAGAACCATGCAAATCGCCTCAAAAAAACACACACACATGCACACAGGCACTGAGGTTCGGGGATACATGTAAGAATCAAAGCGCTCTGTTCAATCTTTGTCCAAATCTCGCGGGGCTGCTGAGTTTCACTGAGGTTCCCTGCCATAGCAGCTGCCAAAAGCGAGGAAAGCAAACGGCCATTCCACGCTTCAGAGCGGCCTCTAGGCGTTTAGCACCAGGGTTTGACCCTGACCACTGAAAAGAGTCCTTACCCTGGTGTGGCATGAGGAATGTTTAGAAGGATTCAGCACAATGCAGACCATATGATCTCTGCATATCTCTACCTCGTTGCATTTATTGCAATGGAATGCTTGGAGAACATGCAATATCGGAATAGAACCTAACTACTATATAGATATTGCTGGAATGATGCAAGCATTCTCCGAACATGGTCCAATCCTCATGCAGACTCAGGACGCCACCAAAACTTCTGCGGCACCGGCCACTTAAATGCAATCCTATGTGTGCATGGCCGGCCTCCTCAAATGACATAGAAACAGCTTTGGTAAAGCAGCTTGTTTTCCAAAACGCGTTTGACATGGGGGAACCACACACACAAAAACAAAGGGGGACACCGAAGACATCTCCAACAGCCTACTTGAAGACTTGAAGACATCTCCAAAGACTGAACTTGGGGTAGTGGCGTATAACTGTATAAGCACCTAGTGGTTTAACTGCCCCTCTCAGCCTAGTGGTGTACTGAAGACCTTTGCTCGCTCTCTGGCACAAAGCAATGCGATGCCACACAGCAGACTGGAGACCAGCGCCTGAAGTGCAAAAGATTTGGGTGCTGTCAGTGTGGATTCAGGTTGTTCCGAAAGGGCACTTTAAAGAATATGGCATGCTTTCAGAGAAGGACGCACCAGAGTTTTGGGCAGAAGAACTAAGGGGCTATGTCCAATAGGGAAGAATCGGGTTTATAAAGTCTGGTCGGCAAGGACGTGTAAAAAAGGGTCTGTGATAGAAAGGGCCGGATCATTTGCAAATCCGATATGCAGTGTTTCGAGAATAAATGCACCAAACAAATACAAACAACCTCAAATGTTTCGACTTACCAGGATTGTTTAGAATATCTCAGTTTTCGTTCGAGTTAGCTTCGGAGTTGCAGTTGACCTGATATCCGTCAGAGAAGGAAGGACCCATCTGAAAACAAAGGATCTTAAAGAATGGGTGGGGCATTGTTGAACACACACATATATATAGTTTAACTATGTTAGTTGTTAGCATATATGATATCAACCCTTGGTTAGGTCCCCAGACGTAATCACATCTATAGTGAAGATATGTGAAGATTGATAAGAAAAACCCACCGAAATGGTTGTTGCTATCTTTGGTCTCTTACTGTATCTTACTGTCCAAGGAAGCAACAGAATGATGCCATAATGTGCAGCTAGTTGTGGCTGTGGTTCAGAACCCCGCATGACATCACCAGTTACTAGCTTGTAAATAGGCATTAGTTTCTTGATGCAACAATTCAACCAGTGGTTTCACTAAACGATTGCGAAACCCCGTTGTGGAACCAAACTGCATGGTGATCTTGGCAATCCCATTGTTCCCACGCGATTGTTTGCTCGCACGGGTCGACATTGCGTCAAAGCGGCCAAGTTGGTACCAGGGTCCTGGAAAAAACATTGTGGCACAACTGGGGTTGGGCGCGGCATGCCCCATCACGGGGGCCCCAACACCACTTGAGTAATTGTGCACCCCGTGGCTCTTATATTATTGATTAGTAAATGAGATGCTGCTGTGCTGGTATATATGATGATCAATGAATCATCCAACTATGATGGATTACAGATGTGATATACACACATGATTCAGTTGTAAGATGACGAAGACGATGATGATGACGACCATGAGTTGGAAAGGCATCACTCCAAGGCCCGTACAGCAAAAATGCAGGAGAAGTGCCCAATTGGAATTTCACTACTTTAAACTCCAACTAAACAAACTCACTCTGTTTATTGGTGATGGTGATGCCTCCTGATCCACGAGCCCTTCATCTTCTTTCTATTCTTCGCGGTTCGGTCGCTGACAGGTTTTCAGTATATCATACTACATCCACCGCGTATCGGTCGCGGTCGGTCTTCTTGGCGTCCTTTTTCGGTCCTGAAAGAGTTCATCCAACTCATTTTCGGCCTGGGGGGAACGGTTGGGGCGGATCCGTCCGGGCCACGGGCCACGAGACGATAGGGGCAAGCTATGAGTGAACGTGACCTGTTGTGGCAGTGATTTCAAGAGGTTTCAAGCGATAGGGACACCCACCGATTATATAGCTACTTAATTGTATCAATATGTATCAATTATATTCAAGTATATAACAAAGGATGATGCAAACCTGCAGTCTTTGCGGGTCTTATTTCGGCAAGCAAAGGTGGATTTTCTTGGGAGCCTATGTTGGTTCTGACAAATATTCGTCAGTGGATTCCTTCAATCTAGAAGGCACAAGAACGGCCCGCCCGCCCATCGCCAAGAATCCGCCGCAACAGTTTCACCTCTAGGATCGCAAGGTCACAGCATGTCAGTGTTGCCAAACAACTCTTCAGTGCGGCTCACTTTCGGAGCCTTTGCAGGTGGCCAGGCCACCGTCTCAACATCTCGCTTGGCATGAGATGTGGCTGCTTTCAACTTTAGCTTGTTGCAAGCAAAATCCATTTTTTTATTTTCTTGTCTCCTGTCCACATCTCAACACGCACCGTCTGAGACAACAAAGTAACGACCTTTGCTTCTTGTTGGCTGTAACTGCTCTTGTGCTTTGACGATTCTGCGATGACTGTGTCACCAATCTCAAAAAGTTTTCCCTTCAGTGGCAGTGGCAGCGTCACTGTTCACTTCGGTCTTGGGCGTCTTTTCTGGCTGCTGAGCTTGGAGAGCCTCGTAATCGCCCTTGGCTTTCTGAAGGATCTCGATCGACGGGCCTGTTGCTTTCGAGAGGGAGGGGCCTGCAATGCGAGCCATCGTCCGCAAAACATCCTCAAGGAGTTGCATGTGACATGTGAACGCAACAAACACACCAGCAACAAAGCACCTGGGGTCAGCCTGGGGTATGTAACAAAATTGCAGTTACGCTAAGATGCTTGAAGGTCTTCAGCAGCAGCCGCTTTGGGGTCCACGGACAGCGAGTGCAAGGGCAAAGAAAGCTTCAAGGTGGAGAACTCGAGGAAGAGGCTGTGCGCTAAGGGCTTCAGCACGCTAGAATCACCTGCCACCTTCAGCAAACTGAAGAGCAAAACCACGAGCCCCTTAGCCACAGGGTGCACCACCAAAGAAGGCATCTCAAGTGAGTGGCACATGACAATGGCCCAATGGCACTGTCCAAAAACTTTTGAAGGTCTTCGGACGAGAAGTCGTGGCCTTTCAAGCAAAAATGTTCAGCTTGAGCAAGTCATGGTTTGGTGCCCAGCCGCGGAGGTGTTCAAAGTGCTCTTCGGGTGTACCAAACAAAAAGCAAAATCTTCTCTGCAGTGTTCAACGGGCCAAAGAACCCCTGGACAAACTGCAAGTTCTTTTGCTGCTCCTGCGAAAGAGGGCCGCGCAGCATCTTCTGAGCAAAGGCGCAACGGTCTTCATCGGACTGCTGCAAGACATGCTTTGGTGGATTTTCTCTTCGACTCGCAAGCGTACAAACTGCTGGTACAGAGTTTATTTGTACAAGTATATCATTTGCGCCAAATCCAAGAAGTCCCACTCTGATTCTGTAATCTCTCCAAGGGTGGACCCACCCATGCACATCAATGCTTCGGCCAAGGATGGCAAAAAGCCACAAATCTCTCGGTGCAGTTCTTTCAGGCTTTCACAAAAGGGCTTCAAGTGGTGGAAGCTTTCATGCGTCAGCAGAGTCTTGACTGCGAACTTGATGCAAAGAGAGTTATGGGGGTCCAAGGACTCAATGAACTTCGAGACTTCTTCATGAGCACGGTCTTTCTTCCATGAGCGAAAGTGCTTCAGGAGGTGAACCAGAAGCTAGCGCTCCGCGGAGCAAGCTCATCAGTGGCATGAAAGTTGCTGGCGTCAAATGCCACTTTCATCTGCTGAGCGATTTCTTCTGCGCACTCCTGCCCTTGAACAAAAGACAAAAGAACTGTTTATAAATAGAACTTGCACCCCTGCACCCCACCTCTGGGACCGTGCTCGAAGCCGGCGCACTTGCTATGGCAGGTTGCTGTGGCTGCACAACAGAGGGAGAACTGGCAATGGCGGCTGAGGAGGCTGCTGAGTTCATGGGCTTCTCTCGAGCAACACCACAGGACAACTCAATCGAACTAATGCCCGCTCCCAAGATGTGCCGGGGCACTGCTTGGTCAACAAAATGGTACTTGCTGACATCCAACGTCGGAATCACAACACGCTTGTCCAAATCCCACAATGTTTCTAGCGCCAGCCCAGCCACCACCATCATGGCTTGGTCACCAGAACAAATTCGGCTTCACACGGACGCAGGGCAACGAGCTGCACTGGCCTCCAATATTGCAAAACCAGAAGACCGGATGCGGCTGGCTGCACTTAGAGAAACAAAACCAACCATGCTTCTGTTGCTTCAGCAAGCGGGCCCACATCACGTCAGGCAAGGATTCACGTGATTTTGGTTGCAAACGCAGAGCGCAGGACATACCCTCCACTTGCTGGAGTCGCATGGTGATGCTGCGTCTCTTCTCCGTGGCCTCCTTGAGGCATTGTCGGAATTCCGCCTCGTGCTTTTCCAACCAAAGAACCCAATCCTGCATTTGGTATACGGCAAGGTATGCGATTCAAGTCGCTTCAACTCTTGCTGGGCTTCCTCCCTGACAGCCTTCGCCTCGTCTTGCAAATCCACTCTATTCTGTTCTAAATACTCTGCCAAAGCTTGATGCGCAACGGCAGCGCGCTCTTGCGAAGAGCGCTTGGGTAATTTGTATTAGTGGAAATTAGTGGATACTAGTGGTGGGTTATTTTGGAAAAAGGTTGATTTCTGCACCTGCGCACTTCCCAAACGGATGAGCAAAGGCAAAGAATCGAGATCTTCCACATCTACTCGTTTTTTCGAAGCCAAGGACACAGCGATGCGAGTCAGCTGCAAGCAAAGGCCGCTTCTGCGGAGCCGCCCATCTGCATCAGGTCCAGTGTAGAAGCTGATGAAGCGAGCCAGCCTCTTGGCATTCTCTTGCCTCAGCCTGCCAGCATGCAAAGAAAAGATCCGCTCAGGTAGCTTAAGGCTTCGTCATGGATGTGTGACACGAAGACTGCCCGTGGTTTCTGGGACGCCACCTGACCAGAAAGCTCAGATCTAGCCTGCTGCTTCACCAGTTCTGCAAAACAGTCCCGGGCAGCAGAAACTGTGGAGTGTGACACGGTCTGAGTCTGCTCCAACGAAATTCTCGAAGAAATTCCTCCATCTTGCGAACAGAGACGTTTGGGTCACTCAGCCCCGCTCTGATGAGCCAGATCTTTTCCAGCCGGCCTCCAAGCTTGGTCTGCTTCTCGGCCAGCAGCTGCTTCTTCAAACAACACACCGCCCATACAAATAAGAAGCTTTCCTCTGCAACTTTCGAACTTCAATCCGTTTATGCTTCTGCGATGCACGGCCCAAATCAAAATCAGATTCGAGGCAATCCTTTGCCTTCTGTGCAGCCGAGGCTGATCCTGGGAAACCACCTTCCTCAAGCGCTGCCGTCAAAAACGACTGAAGAGCTGCATGGGCCCCACGAGCGCGTTCGACCACTGCCTAGTCTGCGAATCGGCAAACAAACAGATAAGAGAAGCCTCATGTCTTAAAGCTAGCATTTTACATCTAAGCTATAGGGCTGGAAGTTGCTTGGTACTGGTTTGGGGTGGCTTCGCAACACGACAAATAAAGCCAAGCCAGCCATGCTGCGGAAGAACAAGGGACCAACTCAACAGCAAAAAGGAGACGCAATGGAAAAAACAGTGATGAAGATTGGATAAGGGCAAAGCAGAGCTATTTTAGCGGCCATAGCTATTGGTCAGAAGCCTACACGAAGCAAATGAAAACTATCACTTCCGCGCACATGATTGATCAAGGGCTGGGATTGTCAAACAAAGCAAACACATCCATTACTCAGGCCCCTGTGAACCTGGACCCATGTTGAGATTGTTAAGCTATGTTAAGCTGATGTCAATCAACGAACACTTCCCGACTTCCCCATTAAAAGAAAAAACAATGGAGCTCACAATAGCTCACTTCATTCATTATTGGGGTCCGTTTCCCTGCGAAACCTCCAGCCGGTTTCTTGATGTTTCCTTGGATGTCCTTGGATGGTCTCCCTGCTTGGAGACAACGTCTTCTTCAAGGACTCAGTGCCGGCCACTCCCCGGCTCCGTGAGGCTCCGGCATTTCTCTCTTCGGCCTCCTGCGGCCGAATCGCGCAAGGCAGGCTGGCGTCTACGCAACGTGAAACGTCTACTACGTACCATTCAATAAGGAATTCTAGATGGTTCTGATGGTTTCTTTCTTATCCAAACGATCTAGCCTGTCGATACGATTCTGCACTATTTGGAACATCAGAACTGATTGAATACATCTGGACACGTGGCCCAATCATGTGTCGACAAACTGTTGACATTCAAAATTTTGGATGTCAATGGCACCCCAAATTCGTGAGACCAACTTGTAACAAACACTCGTAAAGAAAGGGAACCGACCGTTGATGCCAGGTTGGGAACTGTGACCCGCCGCGCTTGGACACTTCTATGCCGGGCTGGTATTTCATGGGTTGAATCGTATCTCTTAAGGTAGCAACATCGCGAGTGACGGCTCGCCGTGTCTTCTCATGAAAAGGCAACCAGGCTTGGTTGAAGACCTTGTGGGCTCTTTGATAAAAATACCCAAGGGCTCCCACCACATCCTTAGAAGGTGGTTAGACCCCAACTATCTTCTCAGGAGGTACTTGGAGCCCTAGAAGGCTCCGCATTACGAGTGTTTGCCATTTGAGTTATAATTATAGTTGGGAAGGACCTGTGCGAGGGCAGTGTGAGCAAACTCCAAACAAAAGAATGGAAACTTGTCACGAGTCAGCTGAAGCCAGGGCACCTTTGGGCTTGGTGGCACCTGAGATATTGTGCTGGAAGATCTGTAGCCAATTCTTGGCTAGAAATGGCTAAATCATGCCAAATCAGCAAATCCTGGTAGGGCACACGACATGGTTCTCAACCTTGTTGAACTCACACTCACTCATCACATCTCATAACCTACCCCATGAGGCTTCACTATTCCTCACGTCCAACGACACCCAACCCCCCCCCCCGAAAACCCCCTACTAGGAGCAAATATAACCATCGCAACAAGAAGCTACTAGGAGCTTCTTCGCGCATGCGGGAGGGAGGGGGTAGAGGACGCTTCACCGGAAGCCGCGCCTCTTGGACCTTCGCACTCGGCGAGTTCCGCCAGCGCTTCCGGTCGCCCGGCAGGCGCCTGGAGGCGCTGCACGGGTGGCTGCCGGGCCGTTGGTCGAAAGGGGAAGATGAAGGCCGTTGACGGAAGGGAAGCGAGTTGCTTCCCAGGTGCTGATGAGAAACAGAAAAAACACTGGAAAGTATTGGAAAGTCCTACTCCAATATATCAGGAAGTGGAGTTCATTTGTCGACCTAGCCCCTGTTTTCCGCGCTGGTCTCACCGGTTTTCACTTCAGGGCCATTGAACAGCCCGCAGTGTTCACTGCAAAGCACCCTCCAAATGAATCGCCCACCCGGCCACCTTGCTGACCAACTCACCTACGCCCGGCGCGGGACCTGCTGGGACCTGCTGGCAGGTCCCGTTGGTTCTTGTGTTTTGTGCTAAGGTGCAATGCCAAGACCAGCGCAATCAGCTGGAAGGGGATGCACAGGAGACCACCTCAGAGACCAAGGCTGGCTCAAGACAACAGGCTGTGGAGACGAAAGCCACCTAAAAAACACACAGAGCCACTGGGAAAACGGTGTATCTCGTTATATTTGGTTGGTGGTATTCAACTCACTTGTAAAATATAAGTCAGTGATACCAAGTAAAGGTTGAACACGCCAATATCCGAAACCACCACCTATATACTATATAATATATATAGTCTATATAGTTATAAAGTTGCATAATTACCTGGTGTTTTCCCCCCCCACCACCAGAGAAACATCTTGAGCTGCTCAGCACGAGAAAACACATATTATGGCACCAAAGCTGAGTGATGTCTCAAATGATTTTTTGACAAGAACCATTTTGACGAACAAATGAGACATCACTTCAATTGACGAGTTGTTGCATCAGAACAGCTCTCATCTCTGCAAAATGCTCGGGAGTATGATTGCTTCTACTGAATTGGTTGCCTCCTCGCACCTCTTTTCTTGTACAAGCCTTTGTGAGGATCCCCCTGTCCCTAATATCAAGGGATGGTGGAAATTCTTCAATCTTCGTGGAACAGGTGATCCAAGCATACAAATATGTGTCAGGGACACGAAGACTGTGGAATGAACAAGAAGGCCGTGCAGCTCGGAGGTTGTATTTTTGTTTGGCTATGTTTGCTCATCATGTCCATGCATGAGAACTGCAAACGCATGCAAACGACGCCGTAACGCTGGAAAGGAATCTCCCAGGCAATTGCTGCACCAGAAAAGGGCCCTTCAAGTTGCTCGTTCGTTGTTCAGCTGAACAAACCAGCGACGAATCTGCCAACTCTGCAAAGCCACAAATCTGCATTCTCATGCACGTGCTGCCGGCCACACACTTCTCACTGGTGAAGTTCGTGAAGTAGCCGTTTTTGCCTAACTTTGCATGCAAAAGAAAGGAAGAGCCCTTCTTCATTTCTCAAAGATGAGTCCAAAACCTACAGAGAAAATGAAGTTCCTCCCACAAGAAACTCCTTTTCAACCAGAATTGTGAGCAATCTCATCAAAACCAACGTTTTTGGAACCTACAAGTCTTCCTACTTTCTCACAAGTACTCGCTTCCAATCTTGCCGCCGGCGCCTCCGATCAACCCATCGGTGAACCATCAGATGCTCTGCAGTCCCGTCTTCGACGTCCGGACCCTCTGGGTTCACCGCACCCCATGGGGCCAAGGCCATTGCCACGCCCAAGGATTCGCCCCACAGGTTCAGTAGGTAGGCCACCTGAAAGGCCCACCCGCACGACCGCTATGGGTGTCAACGTGGGTGGTGCAAATGGGGAGTCAACCCAGCCTGCATTCAGATACCATGTATGTGAGTCGGAGAACATGGTGAATCTAGCTGTTTCTCTCCAGCTCACATTGCTGTCAGTGAAACATGCTGAGCGTGAAAAAAGGATGTCAATGCTGGTGCCAAACAATTACTGAATTCCTCTGCTAGCAATCAAACCCACAGAATGGTTCTTGTCAGAGACAACTTCAACCATAGGATCGACCAAACCCTTCATCTATGGCCCATCTTACTAAATTCAATTCAAAGCAATTGCCACATGTATCCCCTGAAAAAGTTCGATCCGGTGCATAGGGCCCTAAATATAGCGAAAGAGTCGATAGAAGTTGCCAGAACTTCTTCATGCCTTCTACCGAATGAGGTGATCTACTCACCAAAGCGCTCAAGAACAATCCCCATAGAGTGGATGTTAACATCTCATTCCTATTGCCACAAAGCATAATTGTAATGTATCTTTGTCCTCTTTGAACCAGGGTGCATGCATTCTGAAGTGTTTTTTGACATCTCAGACGAACAGGCGCTATATATCTCAGTTCGCAGTTGCACTCCGCACAGAAAAAGGGCCTCCCCATGTTCATCCTCTTTCAGGGCGCTCCGATGGGCGCTCCGCCCCGCCAGCTGTTTCAGCGTCCAAGGAGCGGCAAAGCCTTCGGCCAAACGGGTGGCCTCGTTGCACTTCACCGCCTTACCGTCGGTAGCGAGAAGACCCGGTTTGGTCAGCACCAAGAGGTCACGGGGGGCGACCAAACATCGCCCGAATGCTTTGGTGTCTTTTTCCTCTCCAAAGATAGGCGTATCTGAGCCCAGGGCCCAACATGGCCCAAACATATTACACAAGTCTGTACAGTGTATATATTTACAGTTGATCTTAGTTGGATGTGGGGTGTATGATGCTCTACGTTTCTGATTGGAGGGGTCAAAGCCAAGATCCTCGCGGCCGCAAGATCCAGCATCTCTTGCCAACTGGCTAGTAAGGCTTAGTAAGGTACAAGCATGAGACATGGACGGAACCCTCTGGTTCTTTTTCCGGAGTTGTCAGATATGTCCTCATAAAAATGGTCTCACAATATGCAGCGGAAGGCAGCAACCCCTGAAAGTTATATAACCCACAGAAAAGTGTCTCACAGGAAAAAGGCCATAGATTTTTGGGTGATTGCTTCTCCAAACATTCTCTGCTTTTTCCAGGGCTGCACAAAGCATCTCTCCAACTTGGATGACTGATGCGTCAGTCTGATTCATGGCCTGATTCTCACAGACGCTCAGCAAGGCCAACCTTGGATCCAGATGATCTGATCGGACGGGTGAGGGACCCTGTAGGGGACGGAGTTCAAAGCAATGCCACCTAAGGAGTATGGGCAAAGACGTATGCCAAACTACTGCAATAGGATATGATTGGATACAAAGGCTTCGAATTGAGTGAACAAGATGTGATCATGTGTCGAAGTGGGAATATGTGGGGATGATGGACGCAAAACCTGCTACGCTGCTACACCAGAGCATCGCATGGCACGTCCTTGACCACCCGCGCGCATCGCGGCGCTGATGGTCCAGTGACTTGACGCCGCCTTCACAGAAACCCAGAAGCATCGACAGGACCGGCAGCGCGTCGGACACCTGCGCCGCGCTGCCGCGCTGCGCAGACTGAACACACCTAGTAGCTTCTTGCCGTTCGTAGCGATGCCCTTTGTTACTAGTAGCTTCTTGTTGCTAGTAGTAATGCCAGGAGCTACTATAGTACAGTAGCGTCCTTGCTCGCACAAAAAATCAAGAGGAGGGAGTTAAGGGGGTGATACTTGAGTTGATCGCTATCAGGTTGGAGGCCATCACTCTTAGGTTGGAGGCCATTGCTAATAGGTTGATTTATATAGGTAGTTCAAAACTAACCATAAAGGCTGAACAGCTTACCTTCTTGGATTCTCCGAACCGCCTTTCACCATGACTCATGCCACAAATAAGGAAAGGAGAAGTGACCATGTCGACATCGCACGACATGGTCAGACCTAGGAGTCCAATTGGTTCACGTCGTCAACTCCTTTGGTCTCGAAATGTCATCACAATTGGAGACGCCGATCTCTTCCGGATGCTACGAGATGCTACGGATGCTTCACCGGAGCTGCCAGTCCATGTAGAAAAAACCTCGACCTTCGGTCGATTTGAGAAACGCAACCCTTGATCTTTGGAGCTGTTTTGGCAGTCGACAGAACTCAACTGATGCCGCAAGTCGTCCCTCCCCGCGGTCCCCGCGGTCCGAAGCGTCGAAGCGGAAGCGTAGCGTCGGTCGGGAGAAGACGGTGGGAATGCGCGGGTTTTTCTTCCTCGGTCGTCCGGGTGACAGAAATCAAATCCTACAACGGGAGACCAGTAGGCGCCTGCGGGTGGTCTTATTGGATACTGCAATGGATGTTTTGAAGCAGGAGAAATGAAGCGGACCGTGCCTTGTGGGTGGTCATGAAGAGGCTTGGGAGCATCAAATCCACCAGAAGGCACAGGACAAAGGCGCTGCTGCAAAGAACTGGGAGTTCGAGGCACGGCACTGCTGAGCTGTCACGTCCAAGAACCAAGAAAAGCTACATGTGAAACATTGCAAAGGCATGTCAGCTGTTCTCAGCTACCATCACCTACCCAGAGCCACTGAGCTTTGGAGAATCATTTTTGGCATCTTATCACCTCTTCAAGTGTTCAAAGGCAACACTTGAGTATAGTGCTCAAGATACAGTGAAATTCAAAATGATGTTCTTGCTAAACGTGGTGGGTTTACAAACGCTGGGATTGTGAGGACAACCCCACAATGAAAATGGCCATAGGAGAAAAAATATGCAAGTCCAAGTCAAATTTCCCCCATGTTCACTGGTGTGAAAGTGGTTGTGGCCCATAGGCAGCTTTGACACCATTGAAAAACACTCTATATAGTGACATCTACCGAAACGACCTGCATGACGGGCCCCTGCCAATCCTCTCTCATATGATATGTCTATACCAAGCAGCGCCGCAGGGCTTTCACCACATCAGGAGCCTGGTGACAAAGAAACTCTCCAGCAGATCCCTTTGCAGTGGATGTAGACTAGATGATGCACGGGTGTCAAGACATGGTTTAGCTCGGACAACGTACTGTTTACTCTGAGTGCATTGCTCGGAAAATGAGACAGAATACCCAGACCCAATATGCTAGTGGTAGCAATAGTCGTTTTCGTAGTCGTAGTCGTAGTAGTAGTAGTAGTACTACTACTACTACTGACTTTTGACATAAGGGTGAGTGAGCTATAGCTCCCCTTCTGTACTTTTGACTACTTGTTCATAGTATTTTATAGTAGTGTGGAACACACTGGCCTTGTAGGTATAGGGCACTGTGGTACTTGTGTACGCGCGTAGTCACTTCCTTATCACAGGGGACGCTGACGTTTACTGCTTTCCAAATAGGGAGACCTCTCAGTTCGACCCCGCTGGAAGAAGGAAAACAAACCAAGACCCATTGGGCCAGCTGGTCTCCCGTCAAAAGAATACACACCAGATTCATTTCTCGGGGGAGCCTGAAAAAGAAGCAGGGTCTGTTTTCTGTGACCCACAACTGGTTCTACGATGTTCTATCGACTTTTCAAGGTCAGTTCTGCTTGGACTCTGAGTCTCTCTAGTTGTCTCAAAGACTCTGATGGGTGTGTCCAGCGAGTGTCACAGATCCACAAATGAAAAACTGGTGGAAATGACAGCAACAGGTCACACATCGAGGGGTCGTACAACCGTTTGTAAGGATGATTTTTCAGGGGGTCTAGAAACCAACAATCTGAGGAACAAACTCTGATTGTTCTTATGTACAATTCTGCTCCAGTCATGTGAGCTGGGAATGAGAGCTCAGATAGACTCTGAAATTAGAGCTGCAACACGTCACGAAAAACACGTAAGTAAGCTCACCTGATTGTCACCAACAGCAACTCGTGCCTTCACCAGCAAGGTGCCCAAGCAAGGTAGCACCGCAAATGCTGCCAACGGCTGGGCCAAGAGCCCCAGAGATCTCCTGGGCGAGCGTTTCGCGCGATCGGGGCGGTCGGGAGCGTACGTTTTTTTCCGGCGGCCCACCGGGGTTTCCGGCGACCATGTGTCCCCGTTGGTCACGTGCAAGGCTCATGTCCATCTCCGTCTGAAGCGAAGAAGATGCTTAGTTTTGAGGATCCCACCTATGATGGCGTGAAGGTGATCTAGTGATCCTTCAGTGGGTCTTTCCAGAGACCCAATCAAGTTGGGCATCAGTTCAGGCGATTCTTTCAGCAACGGTTGAAACAAGGCGGAACACATGGACCCCCAGAATGATTGATTGCTGTTGTTCCAATTGGTAGAGCCGAGAACACGATACATCGCAACTGGCTGGTGCCGATCCAAACATGTCAAAGGCCCCCAAGGGGCGCCCCAAGACCCCCAAAGGAACCTTATTCTTGGAGATGTTCACCCACCCACCATGCTTTTGGGGTTCCTTGCTTGGGACCAGTTGCTTCCCCTGTGCTGCCAATTCATCATTTGTGTGCTACCAACAGGAATATGAGGCCCACTGGCATGACAGCGGGTGCCCACGAATGTTCCATCTCCCATGGACTCGTTCGAATGATTCATGACCTTGGAACATGGGCCCCCAAGGCCCCTGGAATTGGAACATGGGCCCCCCCAGGCCCCAGGAACATGTCCCTCTGGCTGTGGCTGTGGTCAGCTGCCATACCGGGTCTCACTTGTTGGATGCTGTGGTGTTTGCTTCAAGCAGCTGTCAAGCGCTGGTTGGCCGCAGTTTGCGCAGTTTGACCACCGCTGGAACCCGCATGGATGAAAGTAGATGCCCCCGCCCCAAGAATAAGGCCCTAGATTCAATGATATCTTTGTTGGCAATTGGTGTCATCGCCAAAAGAAGCTGGCACATGAATGATCCACAAATTGATAAAGCCTTTGCATCCGAGTCCTACCTGTGTTTACCTCGCCCCCACCTGTCCAACCCGCCCCACACCGATCGGGTCCTGTTCGGATCTGCGTCACTCTGAGATTGCTCCTGTAAGATGGCGGAGATCATCGAGATCGCGAGCAAACCTGCCATGTGTTTGGGACGACTGGCACGGCACCTGCTTCGACGCTGCACCTCCAGTGCTATGAGCGGCGGTCAAAGAAAAGGTAGATGCGCGGCAGGCAGTGTCCTGGCCATCGCTGGGCAGCAAGACTTGCTCCGGCAGAAGAGAACGATAAGTCACAAGTCACAATGGAAGTATGAAAACAGCTACTCTCCATTTTTATCCTTCCTTAAGGCCTTTGGTGCTGTCTTTGGGCCCTCCTATTCTGAACTTCTTGACACATCAGCTCAAATGATTGTTCCAAAGATCTCTACAAATGGTCTCTGGACGAAACGCGTGATCAAGCAAGACATGCCATCCACCAAACCAAATGCTCTTCAATTTGAGGCTACTTCATGACTTCCTCGACTTTGCTGAATGGCAAATCACCTCAAAGGCAATAATTAGTAATATATATGGTTATGAGTTATATTTACACAAGAAGTTAATATGTATAAGGCTTGGTGGTCCCCAAATGGACCGAAAAGTAATTGCCCCTTCAACACACACACACACATTAGTTGTCCCTTCCTATGTCAGGACCTCTATGCACTGCAATCATTCCGGCTTCTGTCGCACGGAGGGATTGAAAACACACCATCGAACGACGATCTTGAAGACTGACGAGCCCTATAATGTTCAACCAAACAGCCTAGAACCCTACCTTGTGGGCTTCCAAAAAACCAAGGACTTCCGGCAACCTCATGCTCCCGATCTTCACAGCACTGAGCTCCCCAACGCAGCAGTCATCTTGATGGGGCTCCTGGGGTGGGCAAGGAAGTAGACTTCTATGAACCTACCACTCGGATTGGGAAAACCATTGGGAAAATGATAATTTCCTGGGCGAAACCAATCCAGAAATAATCAGAAATCGTGGCCACACCGTGTGGCTCCAGTGGGAGAATGGCCTGCGAGATCCTTTGCTCGAAATCAGCCAGGTTAACTCACGAAAGCTCACTGGCCGGGATGTTCTCTTTGCTGCACCAAAGCATTTCTGGAAATGGGAGCGTAGAGTCTAAACCTCACCAAACCGTCGAATCTAACGGTTTGCCTTCGCGAGAAGGGCAACTGACAACCTGTCGACAATACCAATTCAAACCTGTGATCATGTGATCCGTTTGTACACGCATCCATCCCCCAACCTCATGACTGTAGAGGATACAAAACATAACCGTTACGTGTGAAATCGTGTGAATACAAAACATAACTGCAGGATCCACCCCCCCAACAAATGGATCGATAGGCTCCGAAGCGACTCTTCGAGCTCCGAAGACCATTGTCTAAGAGACTTCAACAAATACCCCAGAGTTCTGAAACAAAAGTGACAAATGGTGTCACCCAGTGGTCTATCCCACCTCCTAAGGGCTTCTGCCCCCCGAACTCTCTTTCACCCTTCATGACACTCCCCCAAGGGCGGAGGGGACGTGAGCGGAGCGCTCGCTCCTCCCAGCGGTTGGACAGGGCCGCCGCGGGGAGGCGGATCTTCGGCGCCATCGCTGGCGGCGAACGCTGCGGGTCGGAAGGGAGCGCCGTCCGCCTTTTCTGGCGCAGGTGGCGACGATTTCGTGGGGAAGAAGGGAAGAACCCCTTTTTGGGGAGATTCCATTGGATCCAGCCACCTGAAAATTCCCCAACAAAATAGCACAAGTCAGTTACGGAGCAATAGGGTGGATAGCGTGTGGGCCCAAATGTGGATGATTGGTACAAAGAGCGTTGGTGTCGTTTTGGGGGGGATCGTGTGTGTGTGTGTGTGCTGCACTGCCGGACTTGTTGTTGGATATGATTGATGCAGGGAGCAGAAACATATGGTGCAATGGCGTTTCTCACATGGACAATGATGTAAATAAAAGACAAAACAGCTGTATCATGTGGTAAAACTTGCTCAAATCTGGCCACACACAATCTGTTGGCAAATATGTTTTTCCAGTGGTAGATCTTCCTTGACTGGCGGTTGAACCTATCTGGCATTCAACCGCATTTTGAGGGACTCAGTTGAACTGGGGCCAACACAGAGCCTTTGCGCAAATCCACAAGCCAGATCTGGAGTTGGTGTTTTGTGCTTTTTCATAGTGAATTGTGGCGAACTCAGGCTCTTGTGCCTCAAAGACGCGTTTTGGATAGTTCAAAAATAGAAGTCAAACGGACTACCTCCACGCTGCACTCAACAGGCAAGTCGGTGCATCGATTGAATCAGTGGAATGATGCAGCTCGAAGAATCTTGGTACAGTATCGCAGTGCTTATTCTGGCGAGTGGATGGTCTAGAAATCCAATCTTTGACAATGAAATGAATAACTTCTGAGCCACAAGAGGCATGAGGGAGGTAAATCCCGCACCACCTGGCATTCAGGATCTTCCACTTGTTGCAGGCTCTTGTGTATCCCAGGTAGTATATAGGATGTCTTCCTTAAACAGCAATATATTGGACTGCTGAGTCTTTCTGATTATGTGTTTGACCAATTTCAGTTATAATGCTGCTAGACCATTGACTATTGTTGCCCCTTTCGAAGAGGTCACCTATTCCACAACCACTTTACGGGGATGAGGTAGAGTGGACCACAATCCGGCTGCATGGGGCCAATCTGATCTGCTTTTTCGTCTCTGCGGCCGCCAATCGTCGTGCTTTCTGTCTCTGTCGCAGGGTACTCCTCCTTGATCTCAATGTGACCATGAGCCAAAGCCGAAACCAGGTGACACAAGTCAAGTAATTGCATGATACTCTGATGGACAAACCCCCACCTAGAAGCCTGAGATGGAGGCCGTTCTGAACCTGAGCCGAATCCTTTGGGGGCAATCAAGGACGATAGATGTCACTGGTTCCCATTGTGTCCACTTGCGCGAATTCACTTGTCCTCCAGCTATCTCCAGCTGACTTTAGTTGTAGTACCAATATCGTGTCCTTTGGCATAGGACATGGGCACAACACTTTTGAGCTTTGAGCTGTACCCCATGATACTGAGGAAAAGTCCGACCAATCCTGTAGCAAAGACCATTTGGTTTTCTCCCTGGCGAGAAAGGGCCTCTCCCTGACATCGGCCACTGAGAGACGACAGGGGAGTCTCCGACGCATCATTTTTGGGATCGATTGCTCGCCGCCGACTCAGGACAGTCTTGGGACCGGTCAGACCAAGCTCGCGTTTGGGGGAGTTCTTCTGCACTGTTTGAAGTAAAAATCAACTTTCCACAGGAACGCGTGTAGGTAGTTTATGGTAGGTGAACACTTGTCCAACAGTCAGTCTGTACCCTGTTGGTCTGTGTGTACTCCCGCCAAAAAAAGGCCCAATGGGGGTTGGTCAAAAGAAGAGCCTGCTCACCTTGTGCTTGCCATCATGCTCAGCTTGTAAGTATCTGACGTGTCAATGCTGCTGCCTTTGAACATCCAAATGACCTGACAACAGTTGAAAATGCTTAGAGACCTGTGAGCACTCCTCCAAGAATGCACTGTAAAGATCTGCTTTAAAGAAAGCAAAAACCCCAAAGGTCAGCTTGAAGGAGTTGAGGCGTTCATGAACGAACCAGGTGCCTTTTCAGCCTTTTTCAGCTTCTTTTAGCTCCACCACGTGACGAGGCGGACTCCGCCCCCGCGCCCAGCTGACTCCGACCTGAACCGGTTGACGTGACGTCCTCCCTCGCCAGGCGAGGGCAAACGTGAACTCGAATTGGGTGACGCGGTAGTACCGCGAGCGTCGCTCGACAAATGCTGAGGCCCAAAAGCCACAGCAAGGTCGATCTACGAATGAATGAGCCGTATCTTGGAGAACAGCCATCAACAGCCAGTCTTCTATAGTATGCTAAAGCATCCTATAGATTTAAATGTGTCGAATTAGATCTGTATGCGCTTCAAAAGGAGCATGGTTTTAACAACATCCATGTTAGAAAAAATAAACTTCGCTGAGGCAAACTTCGCCGTTTCCAAAATGTCAACTTTGCTCCCTTGCCGACTCACTTGCCCTTAAAACTTCACCGCCCAGAGTGGCCACCAGATCGGCAGCGCGACGGCGGTGTTTCGTTGGGCTTTTTAAAAGCCGCTTGAGCTGCAAGTCAGCTCGGTGCAAAAACATGGTAAGTCCAAACCTAACGTGTGAGCCGGGAAGAGGTGGATGTTCCTGCACTATGTCGCACAATATCATAAAATAATATCAATTGACGGAGTTTATTTATCTTTTGTTGCTACCAGTCATGAGGAATGCATGAGTCAGTCTTTGGTACTTTGAACAGAAATCAAAGTCAAGATTCCTGAAAATGAACATAGTAGATCAATCTAGGTCCCATCAATAGAATAGACCCATTACATAGTTTTTGGAGGGAGAGACCCCAAAGCACCCTCCCCGTGCCATGGCCAGGCCATGCCCAAGTCAGTAAGGACTCACCAAAGACGATAGATGAAATATGTCATGGCTCTTGCAGTCTTAAGATTATATGATTGTAACTTTACGGATCTTTACGGTGATCTATATTAAGTAGTTTTAGACCCTTACTCTGAATTAATATGAATTAACAATACCTGTGACATTGTCTGTACCTGCCATCCCTTGTTTTTTTAGATACTCGACCCAAACGTCTCTTCGAGCCACTGAACTCTTGGGCTTCATCATTCGAAATAGATTTGGTGTGGGAGAGGGCTACTGTGGGGCAACACAAGTACCATACAGTAACCCACCCATGTCCCAGACACACGTACCTGTCGATGGGTTTATCCCCTTGCCATGACCCATCATCAACAAACATCATCCGAAAAAGAAGAAGAGAAAAAGCGAGCATGTGGGAAGAGTAACAACATGTAACAACCAGTGTCTGCCCTCTCGGAAGTACGATTGAGTAAATCAGAGCCACGATGTCGTGCTGCGATTCGACAACCTCGCATCATTGTCACATGTGGAACCAACCAGGTTTTACTATTATATGGGTTTACTGCCTTGCATAATCCCATCAATATACTCCCTTCGGGACTCATCAAAACACAAGCAACAAACCGCTGCCCAAAACTAAACGGTATTAGGCACAGTCGTCTCAGCGCGGATAGATGCATCTAAAATGATATACCATGATTCGACTTATGATTCGTCAGGCCAGTGTCAGTCAGGCTGCTCAATCGATTCTTTCAAGAGCCACGACCGGGTATTGAGTGTGCGTCTCTTGTCGCACTGCACCGGCCCCTGCCGAAGACCGGGACCTTCCGGTCGGCTCGATCGGAACCGAGGACGGGGGGGGGGTGTCCTTCTGCCGAGAGACGTGGATGAAAGGAGGTCAAGCCCCTGGAAGATGATGTTCCAAAGACAGAACCTCTTTTTCTTGCTGGGGTCACTGATGGTATATATATGATTATATATATGGATATAAATGGTACATCATCTGCAGAGGCAACAGTATCGCTTCGGGAAAGAAGTACAAGCAGATTGTGTCGTCTCAAGCAGAGAGCTCGAAGGGCTCGACACATCTCCTCACTGGAAACTCACTGAATTTGCGTCAAACATCAAACCTCTCCAGAGCTGCCTGAGTCGAGCAAGGTTTCCTAGGTTGCACTGGCAATGAACAAAAGTCCTGCAGAAATTCAGCTAATCAGGTCTGCATAAAAGCGATGCCTGGTTCTCGCTCGTGCTCCAACATGGACACCAAGCATCCTGACACTGTAGTTGATGCTAGGAAAGTTCATCAATGCCCAGCAATACTACATATAGTAAATTATAGTAACATAGTGCCCGCACTCATCCTGATCTGATCAACTGCAAGAAACTTCAATGAAGCCTCGAGGAGGCTTGCTGAAGAAGCCTCTGCTGGGAACCTTCGTTTGAATAAATTGATGGGCCATAGTTGATGAGAGTGTCAGCCCATCTGGGGGATGTTCACCTCCCCCGAAAACAGGACATATGTGGAATCAACAAATATTGAATATGCCTGAGAATCGAAAGAATGCAAGCGATTCTGAACCCCCTTGTTCAACACCTCTTCCATCAGTTCCTCGCATTCTTTGGACCGTCCATGACCTGCCAAACACACACACACACACACACCCCACCACGCCATGTCATCCGCCACGTCATCCGTCTCCAAGTCACTCGGACTGGGACAGCACAAAGAGCTTCGACCTCGCCGCCATCGGGCTCGTCATCGGCCGAAGGGAGTGGTTCCGGACCGAAGGGGCTAGTGGCTGATGGTCGTTGGACCGGAAGGAAACAGTGCGCGGCGGACATCGCGCGTCCGGTCCGGCGAAAGAGCGCCGGACACCGGTCGAGGTGAAGGCCGAAGTGGAGATGGAAAGCATTCTGAGTGGATCCAGTGACCACTGAAAGACTCCAAAGACTAACCGTAGACCTCGAAACCCTGGTTCCTTACAATAGTGGTAAACCTGGGCCTTTTTCGAGATTGGCGGCCAAACATGTCGGTTGTCTCTTTTCTTCCCCAGCTGCAAAACATCAGTCAGATCAGACCCAAACAGCACAGCTGACAAACATGTCCCTAGGACAAAGTCCTTTGCTGTCGCTGCCTAATCTCACCT